CCATCCAACCTGGCCTTGAACACTTCCAGGGATGGGGCATCCACAGCTTCTCTGGGCAACCTGTGCCAGTGCCTCACCACCCTCACAGTACAGAATTTCTTCCTAACATCTAATCTAAACCTACCTTCCTTCAGCTTAAACCCATTACCCCTTGTCCTATCACTCCATGCCCTTGTAAACAGTCCCTCTCCATCTTTCCTGTAGGCCCCTTCAGGTACTGGAAGGCTGCTATAAGATCTCCCCAGAGCCTTCTCTTCTCCAGGCTGAACAACCCCAACTCTCTCAGCCTGTCCTCATAGGAGAGGTGCTCCAGCCCTCTGATCAGCTTCGTGGCCCTCCTCTGGACTCTCTCCAACAGCTCCATGTCTCTCCTGTACTGGGGCCCCCAGAGCTGGACGGAGTACTCCAGATGGGGTCTCACAAGAGCGGAGTAGAGGGGCAGAATCACCTCCCTTGACCTGCTGGTCACACCTCTTTTGATATAGCCCAGGACACAGTTGGTTTTTTGGCCTGCAAGTGTGCATTGCCAGCTTACGTTGAGCTTTTTATCAACCAACACTCCCAAGTTCTGCTGCTGCTCTCAATCCATTCTCCACTCAGCTTGTAGTTGTGCTTGGGAACTACTTGAGTTTGGCAGAAGTTACCTAAAGCTACCAATAATTCACAAAGAAAATTTGTCCTTGCCATTTCAGAGACTCAGTGCTGTTTAATTTGAATAATCTTTGTAGATTTTGCAGTGGAAAGTACTTTTCTCAATACGTTCTGGAGGCAGAAAAGAGTGATAAGATAAACGTGCAAGATGCTGAACACCATCCCTTGGCCTTGTCTACACAGGGCCTTCAAGGAAGGAAAATGATGAAGCTGTTGTGTCTGTCTTCCTAAGAGATCACAGTCTTCTCAGCCTCCGCTGAGCGAAGCTTTGTTTCTCTCCCCTACCTCTCACTAATAGCCAAGAAAGCTGATGAGGTAAACAGTCCTTTTTCAGAGTGTGCCTCCCTGTGAGACTCTCTGTGTGCTTGCTTATTTGTTTAGATCTGCTTTGACTAATGGATGATGTGTAAAGTTGCTTGAATGATTGTTGACATTAGCTTTAGACTCTTTCATACCTACTAGACTTCACAGGTATGAGACGAGTTACAGAAGCTCCTTTGGTTTTCTTTATTAATGATTCTGTTGTCTTGCAGTTGTTATTTACGTGTTTATCCTGTGGTAGTTCTTTTCTGTATGCAGTCAGAGCTTTATCAATTGATTTGCAGACAAGCTAAGACTTTGAGGAAGCTTTTGAGGTTTGGAGGAGTGTTGGTTGGTTGCTTGATTGAACAACAGTGAGCTGTCATAATCTAGATTTTCAGCAGAATGGCATCTGATAATCTGTCACGTAAGACGTAGCGGTTAGCTGGAAGTTACGTAGCTGTTTGAAGATCTGTTCATTCCTTGCAAATCTACAGCTGTCGTCTGTCACCAGAATCTTTAGTTGTACACGTCTGCACAGTGGTATTGTAGTTCAGTCTCCATGTTTACAGGTATTACTGCTTGGATTCAGCTTCCCAAATTATTCCTGTTGTGTATATCCATGGTGCAGAGATCATATTTTCAAATTATGGGAAAGCCAGACTGTTTCCCAATCTCTTGCCCCATCACCTTCCAAAAAAAGCTTGCTTTATTTGGGGAAATCCCTGACTTTTAGTTAATCAAAGTCTCTCTCAGAGGTTTTTACCCTCTTTTCAGAAATTCAAGTGCTGTTTTCTCATGGCCTTGCAGGAGATTTTCTGACTCCTCTTAATAATAGCTTGGTGCTTTAGAGTAGGGGTATTGTATTTGTGATTCCTGTTTTGGAAAAAAAGCCAAGTTGTGTATCATATGGCTCTGCACCTCTAAAGGCAATAATGATTCTTGCTTACTTGATCCCTTGAAGCCTGAAGATTGCATCTCTCTTGATCAAGGGGAGTCTTCTTCATACCTCATAGCTTTCTAGATACTTTTTAAAAAAATACTCTGCTAATTTCAGTTGTGCGTGCACATCTTGGACAGTGGAGGTGATAAATGAAAAGGTTTGAAGTCAAGTTAGTAATCAGGCGGAGAAATTGGCATGAAGGGACAAAGGAAGTTAACCACGTTATTTGTGTAAGTGTCGTACACAGCAAACAGTTGAGGACCTGACTTGTGTTCTGCACTGGTGCCTCCAAAGTATTTTGGCTTCTTTTTTTTTTTTCTCTTTTTGATGCACAGGCAAACAGGAATACACATTGGCTTTTTCTGTAGTAATAAACTAAACGCTGCCAGTGAATATTTATTCCAGTGTCAGAGAACTCTTCTGGACATGTTTAAATGTTGTGTATAGACTGTAGCTGTGAAGAGCTAGAAGAGTTTCTGTCTTTGTGCTAAATACCATGATCAGGAACATTCAAGGTGACACCCCTTCCTGAAGAAAGTTACATGTTGATCATTTGTACCCTATTGGCTTTAAAATGCTACTGCTTTGATGTCTGTGTGTGGGAATAAACTGTGAGATGACACAATAGCCCTTCCACTTTCAGAGAAGCTGTAGATACAGGATATTTGTAAGGTGTCCCTAGCTGCAGAGCCAGAGCTGTTGTGAACATCCAGTATCTTAAAGTGAAGTTGGCATGATGCTTCTCTGAGGCGGTATTTGTTCTACTTTATGAAAAATCAAAATCCATCAGTTATTTTTCAGCATGTTTTTATAGCTGATTTTGCAATGTAATAGTCATTATCGCCATTTTAAATCTCATGGCCCTTCATGTGCCTTGGGTTGCTTCTTGATGTGAAGTTGCAAAGAAGTTATGTGAACGTAATGTTTGTAAAATGCTTTGAAGATGAAAAGCTCTACAGTAGGCTTTTATTATTACCAGAGGCAAAGTGAGCAGGAGTGGCTTAATGTTGGACTGTTCATTTCCCAAGAGATGACTTTGTTTTGAAGAGTGCACATTATCAATTGGGTTGAAGACAAAATTATCTTATTTCAAGTCTGAATATAAATAAATTGACAGACTTTCTACCTTGAGATTATTTGCATGAGATGTTTGGAAAGAGCAGAGACAGTTACGGTCCTATCTTGGCTCTCTTTCTAGCTTACATTTAAAGGAACGTTTATTTAATGTATTTGGCTTCTACTGTCCAAAGGTATTTTGAATCCAATCCTTTCAGATATCCTTATCAATATAGTAGTATTTTATATATATCTATGTAAAAAATAATTGATATATATGTGATATATATATTTGAGATATAAATGCTGCTTTTCTACAAATAAAATCAGTTTCAGTATGTAATTAAAAAGGTCTGCATTCAGAAATGGTGACGTTTTATTAGAATTTGATCCACAGACAGTTTTTCACATGCTCAACCTACCACATATAAAAGAACTGGCTAGTTTTTTAATAGTGCTTTAAATATTTCTTGAATAATTTTTATTTCCAGCCTGTATCTACATCATAAATTGATCGGTGGTTGTACCGGGAGGGGGGCGAAGTGAGCTGTTTGGCAATTCTCAAGCTACGACTGTTTCCTTGTGAGTTAGAGCAGAAGGGGGGGAGCTGCATCGTTCAAATGGAAATTCAACTTGAGCTGGCTAAGCGAGGGACTGCTTCAGGGACACTGATGTCCTCACGTGGTTCATCATGTTCCTTGCCCTTGCAGCAGGTCATCACTTCCTCTCAGCAGCCTTGTTTTGACAGAGCTGTTTTGTGGTGTCAGCACAGGACGCCTTTGGGGAGCCGGCGTTGCTGCAGCAGGGGATTTCTGAAGCGGCTATTGTGGGCGGAGGGGCTGCTGGGCCGCAGCCAGGCGCGGGGTACTGCATCCCTGCGGCCTTGAGCGGGCTGCCTTGCTCGGTGCAGCTGCAAAAGCTTTGGGCTCCTGCCTGGCACTTGCAGAAATCGTTGTGGAATTTGCTGATTCTGCCAGACGCGAGCTAAACACTTGTTCCCAAGTGGTGCGTCCCATCAGTACAGCTGTTGGTTATGAAAAAAAAAGGAAGGGCTTTCATCCGTAATAATAGAGCTTTGTTGAAGTATTGCAAGCTCAAAATTTTCTGAGTAATACTATCATACAGTATGGTTGCTGCAGTATGGTAGCTTGCTTAGCCTATAGGGAGCTTTTTTCCCCCCATGCGTCAGTTAAAATGTTCATTTATTATCATCATTTATGTCAGAGGAGGGGAGGGAGGGAGGCTAAATTTTCCCTCCGTACTGTCAGTAAGGATTAACCATATTGTTGGGCAGTGCTTTCAAAATATTCTGACCTATTTGTACAACAAAACTGATCAGAACAAAATAAACAGTTCTGGTCAGCAGCTGAATGCTGTATTGTGGCAGCTATATTTGGCAGTGTATTTTCTCATCATTTTTCCAATGTAGACAAAACCTGAATGCTACAGAAATCTTCAGCATTACAAGCAGATAATAGCCTTACTGAATAGCTTGATTCTTCTGTTGCCTGTTGGGGAAACGGGACAGTTTGGCCATAATTCAGTTGGAACAAATGCTTGTGAAGCAACTGACAAAAAAAGTATATGAGTAGATTTATCATTTGCCACGCGGGGTAATAAATAATTGCATCATTTCCAGCAAACCGCAGTACATACCTGTCAGATGGTGGATCTCTCTCTGAAGTGTAATCTCTGCAAAGAAGCATTAAATAGGGAATTGTGACAGACTGTAAGAATTGTTGGTTTCCTGCTTAGGTTTTATTTTTTTATTTTGTTACAAATATAGTGGATACTTGCAATTATCTCCTCATTTTTGTGTGATATCGCCTGAGGAATGGATCGAGAGATATGTTTAATTTTAACTATTTGGACAACCATTCCATATTTCCTGTGTCACAGACTTTTGGTAGTTTGGAGGATAAAATTGCCTGACACTCAAGATAGGAAGTATCTCTTTCTAGCTTGCATCTGGAACTCAGATTCTGAGAATACTAAAATGAAGCATTTTTGAACTTTATGTCTTTTTTTTTTTTTCCCCAATTCCATTTAGTGATAGTCCCAATGCTGTCCATGAGGTGGAAAAGTGGTTACCACGACTGCACTCGGTTGTCATAGGACCTGGCTTAGGTAGAGATGAAGTTCTACTTGAGAATGCTAAGGTAATGTGTATACTGATATTTTATTCTGTGTCTTTATGTTGAATTTTATTAACCAATTTCATATCTTTTACATGATTACACAAATGTTTTTGATAGGGTTACTAAATAACAAATTTAATAAAACATTGTTGACTGACAATTACAGCTGTTAGTCATGGTCTTCATTATTAAACTGTAAGCATCGCTCTGAATTTTAGGTACCCATAGGGTTGTTTTGATTGTGAAAGTCTCTAATTAAAGAATAGATGTTGGCATCTCTAGATAAAGAATTCTGTGTTTCATTAGGTGCAAAGCACCTGTACTGTAAGAACATAAATATGAATTTGAGTTCCTAATTTTCAGAACCATATTTGACAGCTTGTATCAGGAGAGATACCAAAGAACAGTGACTGTGTTCCCTTGCAATAAGAAATAATACTCTTAATTATAAAATGTTGCAGGTTTCTACTCTGGATAAAGAGGTAATCCTATTTTCTGTCAAGCCTTAGTGGAGAGCTGAAAACAAGAGCTTAGATAGTTCTGTACTCTAAATAATATGCATTTATACAGTCTTCCAGATGACGTCTTGTATTACTGTCAACACGTCTTTGTATGTTCAAGGTATATCTTTCAGTCTAATGTCAATTTAATTTCGTGCAATTTTAATTTTTTTTTCCTGAGAAGTATTAGTGAATTAATCAATGGTACTAACAAGTAGAATTAATATAATTTACAGAAATGTTGACAGTTACACAGTGAAATTGCAAAACAGGAGAGGCAAGAGACTGGAGACTGCCCTATCCAAGTAGTTTAGAATACCTTGAGAGCTGTGGAGAGAGGTTTTGCTAGGCTTTTGTTAGAGAAAGTTGCTATTGGAGCTGCTCTTTAATTCTCCTTCTGGTTTCAAAAATGTTTTATGATACAGAGGTGCAAAACTAATAAAGAACGTGAATTCAGAATGAAAGAAAAAAGACATTTATTACAGCTGATCAAGAAATCAAATTCTATTCTGAATGAAAAAAAATCAGCAGAGATTTTATTCTTTTTTTTAAGACTTTTTTTAGAATTCTTTTTACAGAAAAAAAATTGGGCAATTTTTTTTCTTTTTTTAAATCTAAGGGGTTTTATCTTTTAAAGGAAAACTATTTAAGCTTCTTTTATATCAGAATTCCATTTGGGTTTTATAAATATCTGACAATGTGCTTATCTGTATTACAGAAGTATCTGGAAGATTCCTTGATTGTTTTTGTTTCGTTTTTTTCATGATTGCTAAAAATAATTTTGCTTTCCTAGTGAATTACAAGCATATTTTTACTTCAACCTAGCCATCCTGGGTGAGCTTGCATAAAGTTAGAGAAACAAACCTGGCCAATGAAGACAAGGCATTCAGAAGTTACTTAAGGCTAAAATCTCAGGCCACGTTGATATGAGCTGTGGGTCTGACCTTATTAATTTCAAGTCATATTAAAGCTCAAGTTCTTTGTCTTCACTGTAATTATGTAACTGTTCATTAGTTACCCAGTGTTGTGTTTTTTGTTTTTTTTTTAGTCCAACTACCATAATCTTCTAAATTCTTTGTTCAGCCAAAAGCTTTAATAAGTGCCTGTAATTGGGCACAAGTGAACAACCCTGATTGCCTGCTTGAGGGAGACTGGTGTTTCTCTGTGCTGAGGAAAGCCTGAGTCTCCCTCTTGCTTCAACAGTGAATTTTAAGCTTTGTGTCACTCTTCACCTTCAAGGAAAAAAAAAGCAAGTGATGATAGCGTTGCTATTTTAAACTTTTATAGGAGGCTGGCTGGGTATATAATTTTCTGTTTTCCCTTTAAGCTAACCTCAGCATGCTGTCATATGAATAGAGGGCTGAGATGTTAGATTAGTGTCTGCTTTCTGGTCAGGGTTTTGTATCAGAGTGGCAGTGAGGATGGGAGAAAGCTTCCCCTCTTTCTCCTCCTGCTCCATTAAAGTGCTGAGGCGTCGCGGTCTGTCACCTCGGTGATGCTGTTCTGATGTCGGTTCTTGTGAGTATTGTGCCAGCACATTGCCAACGATTGTGTATGTCCAAATAGTCATGTGTCAGGGCTGCTTCTCTCTTCTGAGCATTGAGAAATTAAGATACTAATGCAGTAACCTGCAATTTCTGGTGTACAGCCCATGGATGCTGTTTTATTGTGGAATAGCCTGAGTACTTGTTGACCAGGTGGTGCATCTTGTCTCTCCAGACCAGAGAATACTTTGCTTCCTCAGCTTCTTTACATTATCACCTGCCTCCCGCGTGCTTAATACCTGCAGTGTATGTACTGTGGCATTTCAGGTCCTTTTAACAGTGTGATGGAAAAGGGATAATGATCACTTTGTGATCAGTTTCCTTTGATTTTTTTTGTTGTTGTTTTTTGTTTCTTGAGAGTGTAGCAATACTCTTTCAATACATACTTACTGGCTTACTGTGATTGTCTGGTTTTTGTTGTAATTCCATTTACAAGTCCTGTTACAAGAAGCCACTCTACAAATTATATCTCTCTCCTATGCCACTTGTGTGAGTCTGCACCAAAACCTTCACATGCTGTTTCTCAGTTGCCTGGGTGAGGGCTGATGCTCTTGCAGAGCTTTCTAGCCATGGGTTTGCAGGACCAGGAGCTGCAGCTTCAGAAGAATCTCCTAAAGAAAGCATTTGTTGTGTCTTAATAGCTGTGCAGCTGGATCCTATGCAGATGTGGCAATCCTAGTCTTGGCCTAGTTAGACCCTCCAATGCCAGGGCAAATAAGCAGTCCAAGCTATTTCTCTTCAAGAGAAAAGGACGAAAACCACGTTTCTGCACCACTTCTCAGTTCTGGAGTGTGCAGATGGAAGCATCTCTGCTCCCCATTCTACTTCAAACTTCTGAAATACTGTTACCACATCTGGTGTGGAACTTGGCCACCACAGCCAGCTTCCTCGTAGGCAACATTAGGCCATCTTTTTTTTCCCTTTCAGTGTCCGTGATTGAATCTGGCCAGAGATGACAGCACCATTACCTCCCTGGGTTCACCTCAGCTGGTATTCTGCCGGTGGTGGTTCAGACTCGGTAGAGAAAGAATTTAGCTGCCATGTGGAAGCAAGGCCAAGGTCCCTACAACTGTCCTCTGTCAGCAGCATATTTCCAAAGCTATTGGATGTTCTTTTTTCACACAGCAGCAATGTTATGTCCCTATCATATCTACCCAGCAGAGTGTTCTTCATTTAGCTCTTCCAGGGATGTTGGCACTTCAGGTCTTACTCTGATTTGATTTTTCTTGTAGCCTCAGGCTGGGAAGTAGGGGAATCACTGCCTTGTACCATCAAGAGTTGTTCCTCAGGTTTGTGAGAGAAAAAAGTTGCTCTCCTGCAGGATGATGAGTGCAGATCCCAAGAAGACTTTGGAAAGAATATTCTATTCCTTGCATAGCCCTCTGGGAGAGGAGATGATGCCACCCAATGCTCCAGGGTGTTTTGCATTCTGCTGCTGCCCAGCAGTTAAGCAGTTATGGGCTTAGCTGTGTCCTGTATCAGTTTCCAGCATCTTGTCATCTCCTTTCTCCTCCTACTCCTTCTGGCATGAATCTGATATTCCTGTTGAATTTTCTGCTTCTGAGTTTGGTGTATCTTTATTGGGTACATTACCGGCTTTGTGATCAAATGGACTGATACAGAATTGTTGGTGCAATAGTAGTTACTGTTGGGATCAGGTAAAGAAAAGCAGTCATCCTTATCAAGAGCCCTATTCTTAACTGAAAAAAGACCTTTGAATTGTCAGTGGGTTCCTTAACTCTCTCCCAGAAGTGGCAGCACTGAATCCTGGACTCTGGCACTCCAGTCTTGCCATGTTAAGTTAGATTGGTTAGCAGCTAAGTTAGATTGGTGTTTTCAGCAGAGCATACTTGCTTCCCTCCTGTAAGAGAGGTAATGATTAATAGCAAGAACGTAACTCAGATTACATGGTAAAATCGACTGGGTTCTCAAACTGCATACTTGTTCCTCTTGCTCAATTCTCAGTCTTTATTTTAGCTCCAAGAAAATGTCCTGAATACCAGCCTGGGTTCTTCTTCTAGGGTTTTTGTTTGTTTGTTTGTTGTTGTTTTTTCAGCTGAGGCCCTGCCTAGCCACCATTTCTGCCCATTGTTGTTGCTGTTTCTCTCCCCCCCCAGCCCCCTCACTCTGCAACGCTACCCTCAGCCCATCATTTGCCCTTAAAGAACTCTGCTCTCTATTGGGATATAAATTTCAGAAATTTCATTTTCCACCCCTAGTGACATAATCTTAAGATTGTGTGGAAATGTCTTGGCTGTAGTTAACGTCTAGCAAAGGGTGGGAGAGGTTTGGGCCATTGTCGTGGGTCGTCTCCATCTCCATCGAGTGTGCCCAGAGAGAGCCCATTAGAAGTTTTCTCTTTCAGATGGATTCTCAGCTCCACTTCAATTGAGGTATCAGCCTTTCTGTGTTTGTTTTTGCTTAGTTGGAATAATTTCCCCTGCTTCGATCCTCATGTCTTCAGGATTTAGACAGCACTTCACAGCCTTAATAAATTGTGAGAATGGGACCAAGTGCTTCAGTACACTATCTGCATTAGTTTTTGGAATGTGAAGAAGACTACAGAATACAGAGCCACCTTTATTGTCATAGCAATCCATTAAAGCTAAATCTGCCTCTATGGGCTTTGAGAAGCATTTTCCTCTTGCTACCTGAGCAGCCCCCTGTGTTCTGCTTGTACTGAGTATAAGACACCTGAGAAGCATCCCAGGCTAGTGCTGCAGTTGATAGGTTAGTAGTATTGTCTGTGATGCCTACCACTGTGTATGAACACGAACAACTGTTTGGAATCACTGCTCGTGTCAACTCAAATTAGCAGAAAAATTATTTACCAGAATCTTCATTCTTCAGTGTGTGTCACATGTTCATTTGCTTCCTGCCCTGTT